CGTCGCTCCCGCCCCCGCCCTCGCCGCGACGCCACCGCCGCCGCCGCCGCCGCCGCCGGCGCCGGCGCCTGCGCCGGCGGCGGCTGCGGCCACCGCCTTGGCGGCGGAAGTCAGGGCTCCGGAGATTGAGGCGAGCAGCTCGTCTTGGGCTGCCACCACCGGCGCCACGCCCCCCAGGCTCACATAAGTGAAAACGTTCAGCGCCCACGCGGCGGCCTCCACCCACGCTGCGGCCTCCACACACACGCCGCGCTCCCAGAGGGCCAGGGCCCGAGCAACCGCTCCCAGCAGCTGCCCCCTACCCTCCGGCGACATCTCCAAGGCATACATCGCCAGCACGCCCGGCGCCCAGCGCAGCGACGCGGCGGCGGCGGGGGCGGGGTCCGGCCAGCCGCGCAGGAGGGGGAGCACGTCGTCGTCGCTGGCGGCGAGGCGCGCAACCGGGCCGCCGGGCACGTCGGCCGCGTCTCCAAGTAGGCTGGACAGGGTGTCTGCGGCAACCCTGCGTACCTCGCCCTGCGCGGCGCCGCAGGGGCAGGGCGCGGCCGTGCCAGGGTCGAGGGCGGGAGGCGTGGGGTCGCGAGCGCGTCAGTCAAGCGCGCACACGCAAGGCCGCGAGGCCACGCGTGCGCGCGGCTCGTGCGCATGCCCGCATGCGTGAAGCCGCCGCAGACTCACCGTCGGGTCCACCACCGGGCTGCCCGAGCTCGCCAGGCGCGCCAGCCACAGCACAGCATCCGGCTCTCGAATCAGCGCCTCTATCAGCACGCCCCGCTGCCGCGGCGCCCCCGCGGCCGCCGCTGCGTTCACGCCTGGGACATCCTCGGCCCACGTTTCCAGCAGCGGCACCCTCGCGGTCTCTGAAGAGATCCCGTCGCATGCCATGCGCATGGCCACCTGCAGAAAATCCGGGTTGACGCGCGCCGCCGCGCGGCCGCCGCCGCCCTGCGGCGCGGCGGCTGCGCGCAGGAGCTGGATCAGCTGCGCCCCCATCGCGCGCCAGTGCCGCGGCGCCAGGCTCGCCGACAAAAGCCTCAGGTACCGAGGGCTGGCGGCAGGGTTGCCGGCGGCGCGGTCGGCGCACTCTGCAGGCAGGAACACCATGGCATGTAGAGCACGGGCCGCCGCGTAGGCGCAGGCGTCGCCCTCAACGGCCACGCGCGCGCACGCGGCGTCCACAAACGCCGGCTCGCCCGCCAGCCGGCGCAGGGGCGCCTCTCCGCCAAAGGTACCCAGGTGGGCGAGGCAGTTGAGGGCGTTGGCGCTTGCGTCGGGGCTGCGAGGCGGCGGAGGCGGCCGGCAAGGAAGGGGTATGGAAAAAGCAATACCCATCGGCTGAGGGACCCTGCTGAGCTGCACAGCGCCCCCCCCCTCCCGCGGAACAGCGCCTCCAAGGGTAGCCGCCTCCGCGCGTCCGCCGGCGCGCACCTCGCACCGGAGCGCCTGCTGTCCATGAGCGTCAGCAGCGCCTGCATCGCGTCGCCCTCCCTCAGGATCAGGGCGCACGCCTCGGGCTCAAACGCAGAGAGCATCGCCAGCGCGCCCGCCGCGGCCGTGGCGGTGGCGTCGTTGGCGCTCGAGAGGCAGGCGATGGCCCGCGCCAGGAAGCCGGGGGCAGACGCGAGCTGGAGCCGACGCGGGTTGGGGTCAGGGATGCCTGCGCATGAGGAAGCGCACGCGGCCGGCCGACGATTGTTGCATCTCTGGCGCAGTGAAGACGCGGCTGCGGTTCCCGCGGGCGCTTGCAACGGCGCCGCGTCGGCTGCGCGAGCCTTGGTCCGGTCGGTGCGCTTGGCATCACAAATGCGCCGCTCTGGCTGCCGCGGTCTCGCATCGCTGCTGCCCTCCCCCCCAAATCACTACCACCTTGCGATAGGAATGCGGCCGCCTGGAACACGGCCTGAAGCGCCCCCGAGTCCGTTGTCCTCATGCATCCCACCAGGTCCTGCAGCAGCGCGCCAGGCAGCGGCGTGCTGGTGTCTGCGGCGCCAGCGTCCGTCAGGGCCGCCAACGCGCCCTCCGCGCGGCTCAGCGTGTGTGCTGCGCCGCGGCCCTTGGACTTCTTGAGCAGGGTTATCAGGGTGCGGGTGACCTGTTCCACGTCTGGGGGTGCTGCTGACAAAACTTCTGCTGTGGATGGCACCGCAGGCACTGCGGCGCGAGGCGCCGGGGCAGCCGGCGCCATGCGCCCCAGCCACCCAGGATTGCTGTGGCCAGGTGCACCGGGGCTGCTTGATCACTGCATGCTCCTGCTGATGCTTATTGAGTTATGCTTTGCTATTCTACTGGTAAGATTGTAGCGTCAGGGCCGCGCTGCAGACTGACTGTTAAAGGCGCGGGAAGATCAGCCCTCACTGCGGTACGGGATACAAGCTCAAGCACGGTTTCATCAGGGAATTGTGCCCTTTCGCAGGGCGGACATGAAAGTATACCTCAACTACCTTGGAGTCGTAGTCGGCCGTCACCGTCTCACCGGGGATCAAAGGAGCAAGAGTGCGGCAAGCAGCGGAGTGCACAAAGCGAGTGGGGTATCCCTGCCCGTACCCGTTCCATCGGGACTCATATCACCAAATCACCTGAGGGCGGACATGCTATGATAAAGGGCACGGCCAGCGGGGCCTCACCGACACCCTGAGTCATGCAGCCACGCTAGCAGCTGCTGCCTGGCAGGTGCAGGTGAGGTCGTCCACGAGTCCAGCACCCGCATGTTCTCCAAGGAGCTGAAGGGCAAAGAATGCACACCTGAGGAACAGCTACGACGATGTGGCAAGGGCAGCGCTATGATAGCCATCGCCCGGTGCATGGTGAGGCTGGCCACCCCCCTCCCACGCACACGCGGTGCCGCATCCACCCTTTGCAGCGCCGAGTGCTGCGACGATGCTCCCTTGCATCAGGCGCGCGCGATTGTTGCTCATTCAAGAGGCAGCGTGGTGCATGGTGTCTGCTACGCCAGGACCAGCACTTGATGATCCGATGCCACAGACAGTGAGCCGGGTCCGCACCGGGCCGACACAGTGACAGGCGCTCCTCCAACCTTGTGCAAAGGCGCCGTGCTGTTGTTGCTGACAATGGCGTAAGGTATGCTTTTCCTGTTCGCATGGAAACTGCTGTACGCCCTGAGGACTGGTGCCCACCCAGGGTGGACCGCGTGCAGCCTCCCCACCCTGCCGACTGCGCAGCCTCCAACGTCCCCTGCGGCCTCGGGAATTTGCACACTGCTGGCCATGTCACTGGCCGCCACAGCAGCAGCAGCAGCAGCAGCAGCCGCGCCAGCTGTGTCGCGCTGCACGCCTCCATGCACGCTGCCGCATGTGACCCCAACTGCTGCAGCTCAACGCATATCACCACATGTGAGCTGCATGTCCTTGCATATTTGCATGGCCCTACACGCAGTGCAGCGTTAAGATATTCCTCACGGCCAGCCACGGGAGTTGCAATGCGCTAGCAGGCAAGCACTGGTTTGCCACGCACCCCAAAAGGGGGCGGCCATTTGCGGCTGCGTATGCAGGGGTGCAGCGGAGTCTGCTGGAGGCCCAGTGGTGCAGGTGAGAGGGGGGTCTCCCACTGGAAGATGGGTATCCCAGCGATCAAGGTAGCCCGCCAGCCGCCACCACGCCCGGGCCCAGGATGCTTTGCAGCAGGGCTCTCGCTGACAGCCCTTGAACATCAAACATGAACGCTCCGCAACAGCGCGAGTGCACAACAAAGTGCGACAATACGATGCATGACAGCAACATGGGGAGCAGCTGCAGGAGATTGCAAAGAGGGACATTGCGAAAAGGTGTAGAGTACAAAGCATTGCGACAGTTTGCGGCGATGGCACGAAAGCAGTATTGACTCTTTTGAGTGGTCTGCCCCAGAGCTGATCAAGTCAAACCACCCACAGCGGGTTCCTGCGCCCGCAGCTGCCGCTGCGCCTCCTCGCACCACCGCCTGTGCCCGGCCCGCACCCAGTGGTTCCGGCAGCAGGCCTGGCTGCAGTAGCGCACGCCCGTCACGGGGCCACACCCCGCGCAGCGCCGCAGCTGTGCGCCGTCCGCCGCTGTCGCACCGCAGAACGCGCAGTGCCGCCGCTGCCGGCCGGCGGGCGTGCTGGCCTCGGCCTCACCCCCCTTGCCTTGGCGCCGCCGCGCCCCCGCCGCAGCTGCAGCTGGTAGCCACCCTGGAGGGACCAGCGGCTCGTGATACGCATGACACTCGCCCGCACCCACCGCCTCAAAGTCCGCATATGCCACCTCGATCGCGTCCGCCGCCGCCGCGAGCCAGCAGGCGAGCCCGCCGCCTGGCGACATGGCCCCAGGGGTGCGCACCGTTGCGGTCAGGCGGCCGTTTATGGCTGGGTCAAGGCAGGCGCCGGGGGGCCCTGGCGGCGGGCCTCGGCCAACGCAGGTGCTGCAAGTGAAGTCGTTCCTATTGTGTAGCGCGGCGACGAGGGTGGGGCTGGCAGCAAACAGCCGAGCCCATCGCTCACTCTCATCCTCCCCATTACTGCGATAGCAAGCCGCCTCCTCTCCACCCTCCTCCTCCCCCTGCTGCTGCTGCTGCTGCTGCTGCTGCTGCTGCTGCTGCTGCTCCTCCTCCTCCTCGTCTTTGTTAGCATGGTCCAACCACTTGGTCCGGGCGCTCCATACATTCAGCTGCTGCTGCAGCTGCTGCACGTGCCGCAGCGCCTCCTGCACCTGCTGCTGCATCTGCTGCACTTCCTGCTGCTGCTGCTGCTGCTGCTGCTGCTGCTGCTGCTGCTGCTGCTGTGGCTGTGGCTGTGGCTGTGGCTGCATCTGCTGCAAGTGCTGCTGCAGCAGCTGGAGCTGCTGCTGCAGGCGCTGTTGCAGCTGTTGCTGCACCTGCTGCACCTGCTGCAGCTGCTGCTGCAGCTGCTGCGTCTCCCGCCGCTGCTGTGTCTGTTGCCACTGCAACGGCTGGGCTCGCGAAACCTCTGCAAATTCCTGCCGCGCCGCAGCCTCGCGCGCCTGGACCACGCAGCGGACCGCGTCGCGCGCCGCCGCCAGCCGCGCCCCGCGCTCTGCGGCTTTCTCACTCGCCGTCCGCATGTCCGGGTACGGCGCAGCTGCCACTACAGCAGCTTCCTCCTGCACAATCTCCCAAAGCTGGTCAAGCAGCAGACGCGCGCGCGCCGCGTCGCTGCTTGGCACCGCGCCGGCGCCGGGGTCCGTGCCGGCACGGGCGATGCAGCGCCGCGCCTCCACCACTGCAAGCGCCAGCAGCGCGAGCGATTTCAGCTCGCCGCAGCCGCCCACTGCAGCGACCGCCGCCCACAGCTCGTCCCAGTCCCCAGGCCCAGGCGCTACTGCAGCCGCCACCATGGCCCCGCCCGCCCTACTCCGGCTGCCGCCGCCGCCGTCCTCCTCACCCTCGCCGCCGTCCCCGGTCGCCAGCGGCCACACAGCGTGGCGCCCTGAGCCAGGGAGCCGCATTATCAGCACATGGGCGAGCACGGCGAGCACACAGCGGCATACCGCGTGCGCCGCAGCTGCCGCGACAGCCTCGGCTGCCTCGGCTGCCGCGGCTGCCGCGGCGGTCCCAGCTTCCTCTTCCTTGCTCAGACGCTCGCACGCCGCCCCTGCCCCATCGCCCTCGTCCCCAACGCCGCCGCCGCCGCCGCCGCCGCCGCCACGCAGCTCCCAGCGCCGCTGCCGCAACCGCGCGTGGTCGGCGAGCACGGCGCTGCAGCGGCGCAGGATGCCTGGGGCGTCGCGCATGAGCTCGCACCACGGCTGCAGCAGAGACGGGCTTGACGCTTCGGCGGGGACATTGGCGTGCGCCACGAGGGCCGGCGGCAGCTGCGGGCTCGCGAGGGCCTGGGCCGCGCACGCGGCGCCGAGCCAGCTGTGGCAGCCGCCGCCCAGGGACAGCAGGCGCGTCGCGGCGACGAGGGACCGGAGCAGGGCGATGTGGGGGCCCCACATTGGCCCGACAGGCCCGGCGGCGCCCAGGCTGACTACTTTGCTGATGCAGAGCAGGGAGGCTGTGAGATGGACTGCGGTCCTGCGGCCGCAGGCAGCTGCAGCCTCGCTGCCGACGCCGATGTCAGCAATGCTGGGCGGGCCTGCAGAGCTCCCACCGCCGGCCGCGCCGCCCCCGCCGCAGTTGCGAACGCCGTCGGCCCTTCCATCCCCGCCGCCGCCGCGCCGGCTCCCGCTCCACGCCCCCTCCCCGGACTCCGCCTCTGCGGCCGCCTCCGCTACGCCGCCGTCGCCACCGCCGCCGCCGGCTGCGGCCGCCGCCTCGGAGGCGGATGTCAGGGCGCGAGCGATTGCATTGAGCAGCTCTGCCTGGGCCGCCGCAAACGGGGCCACCTCGCAGGGGCCCATGTCAGTGAGCACGTGCAGCGCCCACGCGGCGGCCTCCACCCACTCGGCGCGCCGCCCGCCCAGGCCCCGAGCCACCGTGTGTGCGAACTGCTCCATGGCGGCCGGCGACATGTCTCCGGCAGACATCGCCAGGACGCCCGGCACGAAGCGCAGCGAAGCAAGAGCGGCGTTGGGGTCCAAACATCGGCGCAGCAGGGGCAAAACATCATCGTCGCTGGCCGCCAAGCGCGAAACGGGGCCGCCGCGCAAGTCGGCCGCGTCCCCCAGCAGGGTGATCAGGAGGTCCGCCGCGGCCATGCGAAGTTCGCCCTGCGCGGGGCGCCGCAGGCGCCGGGCACGGCCTTGCCGGGGTCGAGGACGCGAGACGCGGCGCCGCGCACATGCAAGGCAGCGAGCCTGCGCCCGTGCGGCCCATGTGCATGCCCACACACATGCGGGCGCGCGCTCACCGTAGGGTCGACCAGGCGGCTCCACGAGCTCGCCAGGCGCGCCAGCCACAGCACAGCATCCGGCTCTTGAATGAGCACCTCCATCAGCACGCCCCGCGGCCGCGCCGCCCCCGCCGCCACCACCGCGTCAAGGGCTTCGACAGTCTTGAACCACGGCTGCAGCAGCGGCGCCCTCGCACTCTCCGCCACGACCCCGTCCCATGCCAGGCGCAGGACCACGTGCAAACATTCTGGGTCGGGGCGCGCCGCCGCGGGTCCGCCGCCGCTCAACAGCGGCGCAGCGACAGCGCGCAGGAGCTCCAAGAGCCGCGCCCCCAGGGCGCGCCAGTGGCGCGGCGCCAAGCTCGCCGACATGAGCGAGGGGACGGGGTGATAGCCGGTGGCGGCCCCGGCGGCGGCGGGGTTTGCAGGCAGGAACGCCATTTCGTGGAGCGCGCGGGCCGCCGTATACGCGCCCGCGTCCCAGGTGCCGACGACGCGCGCGCAGACAGCATCCAGAACGCCAGCTCGGCCGCCAGCTGGCGCAAGGGCGCCTCGCCGCCGAAGGCGCCCAGGTTGGCGAGGCAGTTGAGGGCGTTGGCGCTCGTGTGGGGGCTGCGGGACAGGAAAGGCGGCCAGAAATAAATGGGGAAGGACGAAGTAAGGGGCATCGGCTGGGGGCCAAGCAGCCGCCTAATGAGCTCCAGCGCGGCCCCCGGGCAAGTGCTGAGGCCCGCACCTCGCGCCGGAGTGCCTGCCGTCCACGAGTGTCAGCAGCGCCTGCACGGCGCCGCCCTGCTGCAGGATCAGGCCACACGCCTCGGGCTCAAACGCGGAGAGCGTTGCCAGCGCGTCCGCCGCGACCGTGGCGGTGTCGTCGTTGGCGCTGGAGAGGCAGGCGACGGCGCGGGCCAGGAAGCCGGGGGCTGACGCGAGCTGGAGCCGGCGCGGGTTGGGCTTTGGGATGCCTGCGCGCACGCACGCGTGAGAGAGCGTGCCCGGCCGGCCCAAGAGCGTTGCGGCTCACGTCATGTGAAGCCATGGCGTCGGTCCCTTGGCGCGCCGACCCACGCAGTGGCGCAGCGTCGACTGCGCAAGGGGAGGGCCGGTCCGCGCGCCCGCGCCTCAAATGTGCCGGCTTGCGCGGTCATGCGCGCCATCCCCACCCCCCACCACCACCACCACCATCACCTCGAGACAGGAATGCCGCCGCCTGGAGCACCGTCTGCAGCGCCCCTGAGTCCGTGGTCCGCATGCAGCCCACCAAATCCTGCAGCAGCGCGCCAGGCAGCGCCGTGCTGGTGTCTGCGGCGCAGGCAGCGGCCAGGGCCGCCAACGGGCTGCGTGTGCGGCCGAGCGTGTCGACGGCGCTGCGGCCCTTGGACTTCTTGAGCAGGGTTACCAGTGTGTGAGTGGCCTGTTCAACAACTGGGGGTGCTGCTGACGGCGTAAACACCGCTGCTGTGGGTGGCGCCGCAGGCGACGCTGCACCGGGCGCCTGGGCAGCGTGCGGCATGGCGCCCGAGCTGCCCAGGGTTATGTGGCCAGACGCACTGGGGCTTGAATCACTGCATGCTCTAGGTTGCTTTGTCGTGTGCTCGTTTGATACCGTATGTGACTTGTATGTTTGTAACAGTGTGTGGGCCGCGGGCGTGGGGGATTGCAGGCGCGGGAGCCTTGAATCGCTCGCGCTGTGAGTGACGAACTCAAGCAAGTGACCGGTATCACGTGTGTGGCAATCTACACGGCGGGCCTGCTATGGCACGGCCTGTGGGCGCCCACACACCCTGAGTCATGTGACAGCGGACACGCAGCTGCTGCCCCACAGGTGGCAGGAGCAGGCGCACCTACCCACTGGCCAGGGAGCTGGAGGGGAAAGAATTCAACCCTGAGAGGCAGCAGCGACGACGTGGCAAGGGCGGCGTTGGCCGACGCCCTGTTCGTGGCGAGGCCGGCCCCGACCTGAGGGCGCCGCATCCGCCCCTTGCAGCGTCGAGTGCTGCGACGATGCTTGCATGCATCAGTCGCGTGAGATTGGTTTTTCAATTATGAGACCATCATGTTATATACGGTAGTGTGCCAGGTCTGCAACAACAGAGCCTGACACCATGGATGCTCAGACCGCGACAGCCGCTCCTCCAAGCCCCTGTGCAAAGCTGCCATGCTGCTTTGCTTGCGAGTGGTGTGAGTCATGCTCATCCGGCAGCATGTATTGCACATATGATTTCCTGGTCACTTGGGGAGTTGCCCGACGTTCTGTGGCTTGTGCCCATCCAGGTTGGGGCCGCGTGCGCAGCCTCCTCACCCTGCCGACTGCGCAGCCTCCCAACGCACCCCGCGGCCTCAGGCGTTGCACGCTGCTGGCCGTGCTGCGCGCCGCCGCAGCAGCAGCCGCCGCTGCGGCACTTATGTTGCATTGCGCACCTCCATGCACGCTGCCGCATGTGACCCCAACTGCCGCAGCTTACACGCATCACCACAGGTGTGCTGAATGTACTTGCACATTTACACGGTTCTACAAGTATGCACTGGCACTTCAATATGTTCCTCCAGGTCAGCCATGGGTGTTGCAGTGCACTGGCAGGCAAGCACTGGAGCAGATGCATGAGGCCGATGGCCACACACCCACAAGGGGCGCAATTCCAACCGCGAGCGCAAGGGTGCGCCGAGGATTGCTGGAAGCCCAGTGCTGCGGGCGGCAGGGGGATATCCCACCGGTAGAGGGGTACTCCAGCGGGCAAGGTAGCCCGCCAGCGGCCACCACGCCCGGGCCCGGGGTGCTTTGCAGCACAGCCCTTCATGCAAGCCCCTGGAGCAGCAAACATGAAAGCTCCGCACGAGTGTGAGTGCACAGGGGAGACCGACGATACAATGCATGGCGCCAATATGGGGAGCAACTGCAGTGGAATGCAACGAGTGACACTTCAAAAAGGTGCAGCATACAAAACATTGCGGTGGCATGAAAGCATCATTGCTTCTTTGACTGGTCTGCCCCACAGTCTCTCACGTCAAACCACTCCGCGCAGATTCCTGAAGCCCCTCCTGCGCCCGCAGCCGCCGCTGGGCCTCCTCGCACTGCCGCCTGTGCCCTGCCCGCACCCAGTGGTTGCGGCAGCAGGCCTGGCTGCAGTAGCGCACGCCCGTCACGGGGCCACACCCCGCGCAACGCCGCAGCTGCGCACCGTCTGCCGCCGTCGCGCCGCAGAACGCGCAGCGCCGCCGCTGCCGGCCGGCGGGCGTGTTGGCCTTGGCCTCAGCTGCCTCGCCCTGGCCAGGCTGCGCCCCCGCCAAAACTGCGGCTGGCAGCCACCCTGGAGGGACCAGGGGATCATAATACACATGACACTCGCCCGCGCCCAGCGCCTCGTTGTCGGCATGTGCCACCTCAATCGCGTCCGCCGCCGCGGCGAGCCAGCAGGCGAGCCCGCCCCCTGGCGATGCGGCCCCAGGGGTGCGCGCCATCGCGGCCAGGCTGCCGTCCATCAATGGGTCCACCCAGGCACTGGGGGGCCCCGGCGGCGGGCCTTGGCCGGTGCAGGTGCTGCAAGTGAACACGTTCCTGAGGTGAAGCGCGGCGATTAGGGCAGGGCTATCGGGAAACAGCTGCGCCCATCGCTGGCACTCTTGCTCCTCATTACTGCGACCGCAACTCCCCTCGTCTCCACACTCCTCCTTCGCCTCTTCCAGCTGGGGCTGGGGCTGCTGCTCCTCCTCCTCCTCCTCCTCCTCAGCATAACCCAGTTCCTTCATCAAGGCGCACAATGCACCCATGCACTGCTGCTGCTCCTCCTCCTCCTGCTCCTTCTCCTGCAGCTGCTGCAGCTGCTGCAGCAGCTCCTGCAGCTGCGGCGTCTGTTGCAGCTGCTGTTGCTGCTGCTGCAGCTCCTGCTGCTGCTGCTGCTCCCGCCACTGCTGTCGTGACTGCGACGGTAGTGCTTGGGACATCCCCGCAATCTCCCGCAAAACCGCAGCCTCGCGCGCCTCGGCGATGCCTCGGACCCTGTCGCGTGCGGCCGCCAGCCGCCCCCCGCGCTCCGCCGCAATCTCACTCGCCGTCCGCGCGTCCGGGTAGGGCGCAGCTGCGACCAGAGTAGCTTCCTCCAGCATGATCCCCCACAGCCGGTCGAGCAGCAGCCGCGCGCGCACCCTCTCACCGCTTGGCGCCGCGCCGGCGCCGGCGTTTGGGCCGGCGCGGGCAATGCAGCGTCGCGCCTCCACCAACGCAAGCGCCAGCAGCGCCAGGGATTTCAGCTCGCCGCAGCCGCCCACCGCAGCGACTGCCGCCCACAGGTCCTCCCAGTCCCCAGGCCCAGGCGGCCGCGCCGCCGCCACGGCCCCGTCGCCGGTGCCGCTGCCGTCGCTGTCCTCCTCACCCTCGCCGCCGTCCCCGATTGCCTGCGGCCACACAGCGTGGCCCCCAGAGCTGGGGAGCTGCAAGAGCAGGACCCTGGCAAGCAGGGCAAGCACGCAGCGGCATGTTGAGTGCGCCGCGTCGGCCCTGCCTGCCTCCTCCTTGCTCAGGGGCTGGCACGCCGCCCCCACCTCGTCGCCCTCGCCCTCTACGACGTCCCCGCCGCCGCCGCCCCGCAGCTCGCAGCGCCGCCGTTGCCGCCGCGCGAGGTCGGCGAGCACGGCGCTGCAGCGGCGCAGGATGCCGGGGGCGTCGCGCACGAGCTCGCACCACGGCCGCAGCAGCGCGGCGCTTGACAGTCTTGCGGGGGCAACTGCATGCGCCGCGAGGGCCGGCAGCAGCTTTGGGCTCGCGAGCGCCTCGGCCGCGCACGCGGCGCCAATCCAGCCGTAGCAGCAGACGCCTGAAGATAGCTGGCGCGTCGCAGCGACAAGGGACTGAAGCAGGGCGATGTGGGGGGGCCGCGTCGGCCCAACGGGCCCGGCGGCGCCCAGGCTGACTACGCTGCTGATGCGGAGCAGAGAGGCCGTGAGGTGGACGGCGGTGTTGCGGCTACAGACCGCTGCCGCCTCGGCCCCATCGCCGCTCCCAACATCTGCGCCAATGCCGGAGGAGCCTGCAGCGCCACCGCCCGCCGAGCCGCCCGCGCCGGCGTTGCAGACGCCATTGGCCCCTCCGTCCCCACCGCCGCCGCGCGGGCCCCCGCCTCGGGGCCCCGTCCCCGCCCCTGCCCCCGCCGCGTCGCCGGCTCCGCCGCCGCCGCCGCTGTCGGCCGCGGCCACCGCCTCGCAGGCCGAGGCCAAGGTGCGAAAAATCGCGCCGAGCAGCTCGTCGTGGGCCGCCGCAAACGGCGCCAACCCGTAGGGGTCCACGCCAGTGAGCACGCGCAGCGCCCACGCTGCGGCCTCGACCCACTCAGCGCGCTGCTCATGGTCCAGCCCCCGAGCCATCGCCCCCACCAGCTGCTTCCTGGCGGCTGGCAACATCTCGACGGCAAACATTGCTAGCACGCCCGGCACGAAGCGCAGCGGCTCCGCGGCGGCTGCGGGGTCCGGCCAGCCGCGCAGCAGGGGCGTGACGTCGTCGTCGCTGGCCGCCAGGCGCGAAACGGGCCCGTTGCGCAAGTCGGCCGCGTCGCCCAGCAGGGTAATCAGGAGGTCTGCCGCGGCCGCGCGAGCTTCGCCCTGCGCGGGGCGCCGCAGGGGCCGGGCGCAGCCGTGCCAGGAATGAGAGAGGGAGGCGCGGAGCCGCGGGCAATCATACGCAAGGCAGGGAGGCCGCGCGGACGCACACATGTGCGTATGCGCGTGGGCGGCGCGTGTACGGCCTATGCACGTGCACGCCCGTCCGCACGCCCGCCGGCCCACCGTGGGGTCGACCAGGGGGCTCGTTGAGCTCGCCAGGCGCGCCAGGCACAGCACGGCGTCCGGCTCCGCAATGAGAACCTCCATCAGCACGCCCCGCGGCCGCGCCGCCCCCGCCGCTGCCACCACTGCTTTGAGGTTTTCGACAGTCTCGAACCACGGCTGCAGCAGCGGCGCCCTCGCGCTCTCCGAGTCAATCCCGTCGCGCGCCAGGCGCAGGACCGTCCGCACGAAACCCGGGTTGGGCCGCGCCGCCGCCGCGCCGCCGACGCTGGCCGGCGCGGCGGCGGCGCGCAGGAGCTCCGACAATTGCATCCCGAGCGTGCGCCAGTGCCGCGGCGCCAGGCTCGCCGACAAGAGCGTGAGGAGCGGGGCACCGGCGGCTGGGTTGTCGGCGGCGCAGTCGGCGCGGTCTGCAGGCAGGAACACCATAGCGTGGAGCGCGCGGGCCGCCGCATAGCCACAGGCGTCGCCCTCGCCGGCGACGCGCGCGCACGCGGCGTCTAGGAACGTCGGCTCGGCCGCCAGCTGGCGCAGGGGCGCCTCGCCGCCGAAAGAGCCCAGGTTTGAAAGGCAGATGAGGGCGTTGGTGCTCGCATCACGGCTGCGAGGCGAGAAAAGCGGCCGGAAAGGAAGGGGTACGGACAAACCAAGGGGCGTCGGCTGAGGGCCAAGCAGCCGCCTGCTGAGATCCAGCGCCCCATGCGCAAACGCTGAGGAGTTCCCGCGCGCACCTAGCGCCGGAGCGCCTGCCGTCCACGAGCGTCAGCAGCGCCTGCACGGCGCCGCCCTGCTGCAGGATCAGGGCACACGCCTCGGGCGTGCACGTGGAGAGCATGCCCAGCACGCCCGCCGCGGCCGCGGCGGTGGCGTCGTTGGCGCTCGAGAGGCAGGCGACAGCGCGGGCCAGGAAGCCGGGGGCAGACGCGAGCTGCAGCCGGCGCGGGTTGGGCGCTTGGGTGCCTGTGCACATGGGCGCGCCTGGCCGGCGGGCGGTCGTCAGGGCTCCGGTCACATGAAGCCAAGGCTGCGGTCCCTCCGGCGCCGCGTCGATCGCGCGAGGAGAGAACCGGTCTGCACGCTGCACACGACAGACACATCGGCTGCCGCGATCCCGCGTCGCCGCTGACCCCCTCCCCCTTCCCCCATCCACCACCATCACCTTGCGATAGGAGCATGGCCGCCTTGAGCACCGCCTGCAGCGCCCCCGAGTCCGCAGTCCGCATGCATCCCACCATGTCATTCAGCAGCGCGCCAGGCAGCGCCGTGCTGGTGTCGTCGGCGGACGCGGCGGCGACGGCCAATATCGCGTCCTGTGCGCGGCGAAGCGTGTTCACTGCGCCGCGGCCCTTGGACTTCTTCAGCAGGGTCACCAGTGTATGAGTGGCCTGTTCAACAACTGGGGTTGCTGCTGACGACGCTGACACCGCTGCTGTGGGGGGCGCCGCAGGCAGTGCTGCGCCGTGCGCCGGAGGCAGTGCTGCGCCGTGCGCCGGGGCAGTGGGCGGCATGGCGCCCGAGCTGCCCAGGTTTGTGTGGCCAGACGCAGTGGGGCTAGATTCAGTGCATTATACTGTGCTTCTTTGATGCCGTATGTGACTTGTATGATTGTCGGTAGTGTGTGGGCCGCGGGCGTGGGTGATTGCAGGCACGGGAGCCTTGATTCGCCGTCACTGCGGGTGGCGAACTCAATCAAGTGACCGGTTTGATCAACTCGGCCATCTATACGGCGGGCCTGCTATGGCACGGCCAGCGGGCGCCCCCACACCCTGAGTCATGCAGCGGGTGCGCAGCTGCTGCCCCACAGGTGGCAGGAGGCGTGGCCGTCCACGAGCCAAGCACCTACCCACTGGCCAGGGAGCTGTAGGGGGAATATTTTAATCTTGACAAGCAGCTGCAACGGTGTGGCAAGGCTAGCGTCGGCGGTTGTCCTGTTTGTGGAGAGGCCGGCGGCCCACCTACCCCTGTCCCAGCAGCTGGGGGCGCCGCATCTGCCCATCGCAGCGTGGTGTGCTGCTACAACGCCCGCATGCATCAGGCGCCGCAAATTATTTTTCGAGCAGATGACCAGCATGGCATGCAGTGTGCCAGGTCTGCTACGCCAGGGCCAGGAGCTATTGGTGCGAAGCGACCAATGTTGACTTTGGCCTGAGTAGGGACAAACACCGTGGCAGCCGCTCCTCATACCCTGTGCAAAGCCACTGTGCTGCTGTTTCTGGGTATAAAGGGGTACGAGGCGTGCACAGCAGCCGGCTGTTGCTCATCTGGCAGCGTGTGCTGAACAGATGATCTGGTTTGTGGTCTCTCCAACTTGCTTGACACGCCGACGACTAGTGCCCATCCAGGCTGGGGGGGGGGGAGGGATGGGTATGCGGCCACCGCACACCCGGCCGACCGGTCAGCCTCCAACGCATCCTGCCGCCTCGGCAGCGCACGCTGCCCGCCGTCCCGCATGCCACCCGCGTAGCTGCCTGTGGCGCGCGGCGTGCATTCATCACATACGCCCTGCCGCCCGGGGCCTCGCGGGGCACTTGACAGATTGCAGCAGTAGCCCCGGAGCTTGGGGCATGCCGCGCCTGCGCACAGGCACGCGCCGGGAGGCGCAGCGTGCGCCTGTCTGCCCAGCAAGGGCTTCGCTCCTGCTTCTCCCCTGTTTCTGCTGCCTCGCTTTCCCTCTGATCGCTCGAACCTACCTGTGGTTGTGATAGATGCAGGCGTTTTCTGGAGCCTGGTTAGCGACCCGCTGCGCGTGCGCGCGCACACACACACACACACACACACGCACACACACCCACACACCCCAACACACACGTGCACACATGCACACACAAATGCCAGGAGTGTGTCTGTGTGTGTGTGTGTGGTCCTTTGTGTGGTCGTGCATGTGTTTGTGCGCGAGTAAGCATGTGTTTGAGGCTGCGGGGGACCAGCAGCACAATCTGCATCTGTACTCCCTCAACCACTGACATGAAGGACGCGGACCGCAACCAGCCTCCATTCAACCCTCTGCTTAGCCATTCTGATCTTTGTCACATAGATACTCATTCTCTCCCAAACACTGCCACGGCCGCGGGCGCACTGCGCACTTCTCACCTGCCGCCCCGTCGCAGCTGCCCGGGTGGCCTGCTTGGCGGCAGCTGTGACGTGGGCGCTGTCATCGTCGGGCGAGGTCCACAGAAGGAGCCCGCGGATTGTTTCACGCACAGACGTCCCTTTCCGAGCATCCAACAATCATCGCAATCAGCAAACTCACGCGCGATCCCGCAAGCGCACTTCCGCAACCAAGCTTTCTTTCTCCCGAGCATGAGCGGCGAACGTGGGCATTCGGATTTATCGATAGAAGACATAGCAGCCGCGCGCAACCAGGCCCTCCAGCGCCAGGGCGAAGCGCTCAAGCCGCGCAACGCAGGTACGAAGCGGGCCACGCGGCCTCCCACCCGCCGTCGCTGATCTGGCACACACCTCCTCATGTCGCCTCTCGGCGCACCCTTGTTCCCCTCGAATCGCCGCTGAACACAACATCAACATTGCATTCCATTACTACGCCTTGCCGATTGCACGCCATTGTTTTCAACCCCAACAGTAGACCAGGAGGACCCCGCCCGCGTAGCGGCGGCGCTGGACAAGGCGCACCAAGACGCGTCCGCCATCAAGGCAGGGGAGGGCATTGAGACACCCCTGGACAAGGTGGGCCGGCCCTGGGAAAACGATTTGCACGCGCCTGAGGTTTGGGGTGCAAGCGCGAGGGTCGGGGCGTGGGTGCGAGGGTGCGGTGATGGCTGTGTGCTGCATCGGACAGGGCGGGTGCAGGCTCCGAGGATGTTGTCGCCCGCAGACGTGACGAGTCTGTGCCTTTGACGAACACCGTTCTGTGTATAGCCAACCCATTCATACCAACCTGCCCAAGTCTTGCTGTGCTTAGGCCCCCATGTACCCCAATCGCACCCCGTCGCTTGTTGCAGCCCTGCCCCCACACAAGTAGTCCTCGCGCTCATCTAACCCTTAGCCCTACCTGCATGGCCTTTACATCCCCCAACCTCCGCCCCCTTGTCCTGCCGACCCCTTGTCCCTGACACACCACACCGCCACCGCTGCCCCCTCACCCCCGTCAACCGGCCCGCGAAGCAAGGCTGACAACTCCACCAGCCTCGCCGACAAAGTGATGTCATCCTCGGACGCCCCCCC